AATTGAAAAATGCGTATTCCGGTAAATTCGTTTTGCATAATACAATTTTCTCTATTTAAACGAAAAATATATATGATTCGACTGTACCTACACACCGACCACCTGTCGGACATCCGACTTAGATTTACCTGACAGTGGTTTTCGTTACCGAGTAGTTTTTTCTCATTACGCATTGTATTTTTTTCCAAAAAAAAAGTTTGGGAAAGGTCTCACAGCACCTTAACCGTCACGTTATTTTCCGCACAAACAATAATACTTTATCGAATGACAAAACCGCAAAGTCGACGTAACCTCGAGGGAAATCCTATCGTTCGTTCATATTGTTTTGTTTAGTTCCCAACAAAATATGATCACACCTGCAGTTCGACGTGGGACTACCGATATTGTTATGTAGGTACACACTACTTTAGTCTAGAAACGAAAATTAATCAACCCGTTTTGTGATATGTTGAGCTGGTGGCAGTTTTAACAACAATAAGCTAGTTAAACCAGTAGGTAACTAACTATATTCGACTACACCTACCTAGTTAGTTATGTATATAATACAAACATCACTTGCAATTACAGAGAAGAGTATATTATAATCTGCTACTAGTACTTAATCCTAAACTAACTACAATTTTAGACATTTTCCACGCAAGTTTTGCTTCATGTAAAGTTTATAAACGATTAGCACGTACATGGAATCTAACTTAGAAATATCGGTTTTGGAACAGCGACCTATTGTTGTGTACTGACACGTTCCGACAATAATATTATTACCATTGTGAAACTTGATTTTCTCATTGACAAAACTTGTTTTCTTTGTCTGACTTTATTTCACCAAACTATAAAATTGTTTGATTAAGAAAATTGTTGAGAAAGACAGATGAATGACGCAAACCATATACACGTTCTTTTAAAGATGAACATATAAATTATAATGGAACGTTATATATTATTTTGTTCCGTTAGAAGGTTTTAACAAAGACTTTTTTGACAAATTATTGGATTTTATAGTCCTTTTCAATTTCGGCACGCAACGAGTTGAAGAAGGCTTAGAGCTGTTCCTCGAGATCCTGGTCTACAAATGCTGGAGAGCAGGGACAATAATTGGAGATACATACTGGAGTACGTGGAGTTCGTGATGATGGAACAATAATACCAAGAGCCCGACGGCAACGCTAGAAGGGCGGAATGAATCTCAACGAACTTCACGTTCTTACTTGGGTTGTTTTCCATTTGTTGTGCCAATAGTCGACAGGTCTCGAAACACTGCTTTTGCTGGACAAGCATCTCCATCCGATTTGCATAACATGTCCGCCTCATCTTTCCTCAGCTGTTCCTCCTTGGACGCCTCCTTCTCCCGACGATTATCATCATAGAAGATATAATCCACTGCACATGCCAGGCCAAGAGAGGTCACGATGTGCGTTAAACATTCTGTGGCAATTGAACGTACACAAAAACTGTGAAAAACTAAAAAACTATAATGGTAGTTTGTCAATTGCTAACAATAAATGTGAGTAATTGTTATCTAGCGTTGACTAGCGACCTAGTCATTTGTAGAATAGTATAGAGCCAGTAATAGATTTGATAAGTCGATGGCCAGCTGAGAAATATACATCAAAGGTCATGTTACCAACAGATCCACATAAAATAAAAATAAAAAAAGGATTAATCCGTTAAAATTGAATCCAATCCAAATGGAAAATAATAATTGTAATTAGCAGTATGTTAATGAACATGATATATGGTCATTATTGTAGAAACACTTCAAGTAAATCATCGGGTCGATGATTCGTCAAAAAACAGAGAGGGAGGGGCTGAAAGGGGGGAGGGTGCGTGAAAGAGTGCAACAACTCGCTTTTCCAAGAAGAATTTTTACCAATTTAACTTAAGTTTCATCCAACTATTATCATTGACGCGTTTTTGAGAGTTATGTTGTTGATTACTTTCGTTCGTACAATATATTAACTATATATTAAAATATGTGACCCAATCCCACCACGGGCTTTGTTTTCTAGACAAAAATTATTATATATTATAACGCCAATTAATTATAAACTTAAATATCTAAACAACAATAATAATATTTTACCGCAACTTTTTATTTTGAATTGCAAATACACAGTTAACCGAGTACTGTTTTAGGGTTATTGTTTTTTTATTTTCATTTTTTCATTGTATATCCATATTATTTGTTTTGTGTAAATAAATAAAAACCCGGTCGGCGTATAATAATATGTACTCGGTGGTGGTTTTTCAACGAAATCAGCTGCAGTGTGGCTATTACAATATTTGCGCAAAAATAAAAATAAAAAAACGGTTCTTCGCAGTATATAATTTGTTTACGCTGTCACGACAAAGAATGATGTTGTTTATGCGATTTTGTTTTATTTTTTTTATTATTATTTAGTGTTAATCGCGGTCGTCAACGTTAGCGCAATGTTCATTACCCGTTAAGCGATTAACTGTGCACTGTGTATAATTCGGTGTAATATTTTCTTGTCGTTATTATATACACTGTTTTTTTTTTTTAGCCACCCACCACCCACCCGTCTTCGGTGCAATTAAATTTATGTATTTTGTATTTTTTTATTTTCGACCACCGCCGCCGTAGTTGTCGAAACGCGGGACCAAAAACGGCGGCAACGGAATTAAGTAGACCGGATACTCGGCCTCTGAAAAGAAAAAGAGAAGAACCGTGTAATTAAAGGCCGGTCATTTTGCTCTATATAATACGTTAACGACCTCTAATTTTATGTTTTCATTGCGGCCCGACTGTATTTTATGTGGCGACCCGACTGCGGCATTGTAATTAAAATCGTCTTTTGTGTGCGCCGTATCTGCTGCCCTCCCCTACTCGGACAAACACACACAAATATTATATGTAAATATATATATATATATTTATGTGTACTACTACCGCCCCTCTCCGGTTATATAGCCGTTTGTATGCACTGCAATGAATACACGCATTAGTACGTCGCCGCCTTCCCCTGAACCCGTGTGGTGTCCCAGTACAGTGACCAAAACACGTGATTATGCATGCCCGTAAATCATTAAACACACCCCCCGACCCTCCGAAATATATCTGAAAATAATAACGTGTTGCTATATTACATGTATTATAACGGCCAATAATAACAGCTACTACTGTACCTAATAACGAATAAATCGGATAAGGCTCGGAGTGTGTACGATTGCCCGTACTTAACACGAATGTAACTTATGTAACTTGTGTGGCGACCGCAAATAATAATAATAATAACACAGGAAACGGATACGCGCTGTGTAATAGAATAGTGTAGTAAACATAGTTACAGTATCGTTAAGAACGGGCTAGCCGTTTATATAGTATAGCCCTATGAACGTTATATAGTAAAATATGTTATAACTTGTATTAGCACCACCAATTTTAAAATAAGCGCCCTCTAATATTGTTCGTGTTCATGTATTCAAACCTCTACTTATAAATAACATGTTAACATATTGCCAATATTATGTATAACTCTTGTAAAAAAATTCTGTTAGTTTTAATATTGCATACATTTTTTGTTTTAAAATTTAAATAAACTAAGGCGTTAAATGTTAAATTGATTAGCAACATCCTTTTGCTCAAAAAACCCATTAACATCATTCATTCAAATTTCAGAGCTTAAGCACCCTCAATTTGTTTTTAATTAAAATTGCGCTTATGAATATAGCGACTGCGAAAATGAATCAAAGCTAGTGAAACAACTAAATGTTATAACGTTAGTAGGGCGTTGTGTGTGACTCGACTTGTGTTATTGTACAGCGTAAGAAATGCCATTGTAAAATACAATATTATCATCTGTTTTCCGATTACACTGCTCGGTCAGGGGTATATTTTCAAAATGCCAAAGTCGAGTGTGTTGGACTTGAAGTGCGTTTGTCTGAAATATTGCCGTACGATGGTCGTGACGGTAATGAAAAGTTGCTGCGCTATTATAAGAGTGTCCGGATTGAAAGTAAATATTACTCACTCACTTACTTACTTCTTTCCAGGACCACAGTGTTTTTCACGATATTTTATACAACCGCTTCAGAGTGTGAAAAGCACAATATTAGGATCACATGTGCCGGTGATTAAACATATATTATAATAGTTGCTATTATAATATATACCGTAAACAAGAGCACCGCCGCTAACGGCCGGAATCGAGTGCCGGAGTTGATGAGTCTTATTGAAAACGTTTTTTTTTATGTAAATATTATTATACCCTATATATTATCATTCCCCGGTAACGAGGGTCTCTTGTATTTGAACTTGTGTATAAACGCTTATGCCGTCATCAACGATGGCGTGTTCACTCGACACACAACTCAGACTCTCTTCTTTCTTATTTTTACCCTCGACCGCGCAAACCCACGTAAAGTATCAAACGCCTTAAAACGACGTTCATAATGTGATACTCAATTTGAATTTTGGACCATTAAATTTTTCCGCTTCTTTTTTTTTATGAACCCTAGCGTTGTTTTTTTTCTGCCTAGCACGGACCCAACTGTATAGCTGTAGATACATCTGGCTTTTAACTAACCGTGAAATTCCTCTCAACGCGCATACTTTTTCTCCTTTTGTCTGTCATTATATTATGTTTTCATACATATAAATATATATCTACTATATAGGTAATGTAAATACATGTGTGTGTGTGAACATTATATTTGTGGCGTGTGTCCTATATTATATATGATTAATAGAGCGCAATATTCGGTTTAGGCTCAAAGTAGTATGGTTATGTAGTATGTTTCGGCTTTCCGCGGCAATTTGTCAACTTGACAGCAGCCGGTACCGCTCTAGTTCATTTCGCCCCCAAAAAGCTGAAAGGTGGTTTAAGGCCAGCAACGGGCTGCAGGGGTGTTTCCCTCAAAAATAATAACGCACCCCCGTGTCTGACTTTGTACATACACACTGAACATGATGTATATGTTGCGCTACACAAAATACATATTACTATATAACATGATTATATGTGTGTTGTCTTGTGTTTCAGAGGAAACCTGCTGAGGGATAAAGGCAACTCCGAGGCGGCCGTGGCCAGCTACAAGAACGCTATTAAATACAGATCATCGTTGGCAGGTATGTAATGGAAATGAGTTGTTTTTTTTTTTTTTGGTTTTCCATTTTGTTGGTCAATAAAACCAAACTTTAATGGAACATAGCGTTCGCAGGGATAATATAATATAAAGTTAAAAAAATTACATTTAATATGTCGAACAACGAGCGGACTATGAAACTGTATATGACCTAACCGCTATTGTATATGGTTTTCAAAGTGCCAACATTTTTGACATAGACCTTAAAAAAAAAGTCATCGTTTTCTTACGGTTAAGGTGGTTTTTTAATTTAACCCTTTAAACTAGCTTAACTAAATTGGTTATTATAATATAGGAGATAGCAACGTCCACTTTAAACTTGTATACACCGTTCATATTGTACATACGAACATTGTTCTTTTCCCACCTAATCTATTCTACACATTTGACCGACTTCTAGCTATAATATAATATGTTTTCGTACAACTGTTTTTTTATCATTTGAATACGATAGTTTCATAAAAAAAAATGACTGCATTTTTGTACCGTTTATCGCCTAATGTTCTCCGCACAGCAGTGTCGGATATAATTATTATATGTGGTTGATGTATGTTGTGTGTAATTTTCATTGAAAATAGCTTTCACCCCATCAATCACATTCCGAAGACACCTAAACGCGAATTCCTTGTCATGCTATTTGCTAATGCTTAATAGTACGGTATTAAGGTGGGCGGTCTTATGTCCCTAACGTCTTGAGATACCGATAACTCGTACGTCTGAAATCAACAAAACATTAAGCACGTTCCGCAAACTCCGATGAAAATGTGCTTACATTATTAGCTGTGGTTGAATTGGGGGGAGGGGGAAGCTACTTTTGTTAATACTTTTTTTTTGTAGCATACACCATTATTTTATTATCCAGGGAAACGCAAATTTTTCTCAAAAAAAAAAAAAAGTATTTTTTCTTGTAACATCAAATTATTTGGTATTATAAAAATTAAATTATATTTATTATATATATATATAAAAATCATTAGGTATACGGTACACCCTCAGAGAGCACTTAGTATTTATATAATTATTATATTCTACTAAGTGTTCTGTTCTGTTTGTTAATTTTAATATATTTTGTTTTTTATTATTTATTTCTAACCTGATCGCAGGGCTCGATTTAAAGAATGAAACAAAACTGTTTTTCCGATTTGTTTTAATAATATTGTCACATTTATAAGTTAAGGAGATTGCATGCTGTCGGTGTTTTTGACGTTTTAGACCAAAAAGTAAACATCATTGGCAACATTACTAGGTTATGTAAGAAACAAATGTGATATTTTTATGTAAACAAATTAGGTATTAATAATGGAAAAATTGCAAATTTTAATTTATTTAGTTACAAAAATCTGAAATTTTAAAATGAATATCGGCTTCTTACATAACATACAATAAAGTAGCCATTTAAAATAGTCCATCCTTACTATTTTTTTCCAATTTAACCACTGAATTTATTAGTAAAAAATTCGCCAAGCGCAGAATTGGAGTAGTCAGTTATTTCTTCTGACCAACTCTCGACAGACTGCACGCGTCTTAAGCAGTGAAAACAATAGATTATAGGCGATGGTAATAGACGTTTATTAGAATCGAGCTCATGCTAAATGAGGAAGCCAACACTTTGCAAACGCCGTTGCCACTAAATTTTTCGTCAGTCATACTTGCCCTCACTATGGTATACGGGCGGTGGTCGGGATTGCCGAACGCGAGGGGCCTGCGGGCTTCGGGCACTTGAAAGCCGCGTTGGAGCGCCTGAAGCTGATCGAGGGAAACCGACCCGTACGCCCGTCTGACCACCCACTCGACCGGTTCGGTGCACGGCGGCGACGTCTCCGATCCTTCGTACGAGAACCACTGATCGATGGGCGGTATCAGCCTTTTGAAGTTAATGGCACCGGTCAAGCGCGTCTGGCCGTTGAGTACGGCGTCCACGATCGGTTGCAGCGACGGATTGTCCCGGTCGGACGACACGAACAACGCCGACACGGCGAGCGTCGCGGGTTTGCCGGCCGGCCGCTGATGGTAGAACTGCAATTCCAAGTCGGCCTGTTCGTCGTCCAGCTGGTGTTCGGCCGGCCAGCGTATCCGGATGTGCGTTAGCGCACATTTGACGCCCTCCGGCAACGAACCTCCGGACAGCGAGGCGTTCGACTTGGTTCCGTTGGCGATTACGCGCAACACGAGTTCCGGACTACCGGGCGTCGACACCGACATCTGCAGCGTCCACGGATACGCACACACAAAGGATTCGTCCACGCTGCTAATGCCGGCGTATCTAGACTCCATGTGCATCGGCGACTGCTTATGGCCTGCCGCACAAACGCCCGGCCACGATTCCACGTCGTTGTACGACCACTGCGGCGACCCGTTGTTTGCGACGGCGACTATTGCCGCTGTCGCGAGTATCGCGCCTGTCGTGAATTTCCACATTACAACACTGTTGATTTAAAAAAAAAACGCGCTCGTTCTTATAGAAACGCTTTGTTTTATTTATTTTTTTAGCGTTTGCCAATGTCATTTTTGCTATTATCAGACGTTCTAATTTACATGACTTTAATAATATTTAAACAGCTGGATTCTAAAAACCTAAAACTTAAAATTAGCGGTACAATTTCAACAAATCTCTCGTTAAGAAAATTAATGTAGGCATTTTGGAAAGCACTAATTTTAAGTTTTAAGGTTTCTAGTATTCCAAGACCCTCCCCCCCCCCAGATGTTTTGCCATCTTGACTGTTCTATTGACAATTCGTCATCAGACAATAACATTTACAAGCTAAGCGGTGCAAAAAAAATTAAGTCAAATATGTACGACTACATTATTAGTGATTACTTATTGGCAAGCCGCAAGCGAATAAAGAATACAATTTGTATCAAAGTATCGACTAACAATAATAATGTATAGATTTATATAACAAGTTATAGTGGTGTAGATTTATGAAAAAGGCCGCCGTAGGTTATATTTTGGAAACGAAAACGATCCGGGCTCGTTTATTCGGCACTTCTGGAGAAATAAAACGATACCAGTCGACGACCCTCATAAAATAATAATATGTGATTTGTTTCGCCCTACCCAATTGTCTTTTGTATATATTCGGTGTATATTGGGCGTATACATATTTATATATATGAACACGTGGATTTCGTAGAAAAAACGTTATTTGTTTCCGGCAGTGCCGTTTTCTTGGCAAAAATTCGCATGCCGTCAACGTAAATCCGATCAAACACATAAAAGTGTACGGCCAAGCCTTTCGACTCGCACCAAAGTCCACCGTAGGCCGTGAATAGCAACGGTAATTGGATCTGCTTTTAGGAAAGTTTGCCCGAAACCGGAAATACCGTACCAAACCGAACCAAAGAAATTTGCCACTTTATTCTGCCCAACCGAATTGACTAGGGCGGCTGCTCCTCTTAAGTGGATATACCCGCCTAATGCGCCAACTGTATTACCCACCGAAATTATTTCTTTAAGGCACTATCCTTGTATGCGCATAATTTACATTTCCCCACAACTTCTAAGCCGACCTCCTGTGCGCAAGCATAGTTATCGAGTTATCCCTTTTCAATGCAGATCGACTATATACTGTGTATAAGGTGTTCAATAAAATAATAAAAATAGCTTTTACAGTAATCACATAGCATATTCTGCTTAGAACGCCGATGATGATAGCATTACTACCAAAACAAGCGTTTACGCTACTACTGAAAAGTGTATTATTTTTTTAATTTTTTTATAATTTATTATTTTATTACTTATACAACTTATACTTATTATAACTACAAGTTTTACTAAGTTTTTCCTACCGCTTACTATCGATTTAACGTAAGACGCTTATTTCCTTGGAAAATGTATTTTAGCTAATATTATCTGGTAATTTTATAATATTGTATACAATAGCATTAATACAAAAGGTACCCAAAAAGAAAAGCCATAAAATTAGTATCTGCATTGTTCAAATTCATTGTACTCATTATTTGAACAAAACCCATAAATTAGATAAAATGTTACTTTCCTATATAAATGTGTTCAAAAATAATTTCATTGAAAAAATAAGCTGTGCTCGATAAAATGGCAAAAATTAAAATGTTACTTTTGAAATTCTAATCCATGAAATCAAATCGTCGTTTGTTCAGAGATATTTATGAGCACAATACGTTACACCGACAGACGTCTCGATTGGAACGGTTTTACCCTTTGAAAACAAACATCGTTAAGATACACTACTGTTGAGTACCGGCCACCGCACTCGACCCTCACTGCAGTCCCACATTGTGATTGGAGTGTTCAACAAGTTCGACCTGTCTAAACACAGTTCGGCTTTTTTTTTCTAAGGAGAATATTATAAGAAGGACATAGTCTTTAAAATAGTTAATGAAGAGCTCTGTGGCGCAAGGTAGACGTTCTGGTGAAAGGATTACCGCTGGACGGTGAACCCATTAGACTTAATGGAATTTTAAAAAAGAATCGGGGTCGGCCTTCGCAATCTTATTACACCAAAATCCGTTGTGTCTCTTGTGGTCTAAAGGTACATAATGTCGGACGTCGTGGTCCACCGTCTTTCCTCTTCACGGTAGATGTTTAATAATAAACTCTTCGTTAAAATAACGGCTTTCGAATGGTTAAATTATGGAAGAAGTTTACGCTGCTAACTAACTACTGTCGGATTGACCACAAACACCTGATTACTTTGAGGTCACAGCCGTCGGGTTCAAACTGTATGTAATGTACTAGTGCATTATTTAAGTCGAATTCGAACGACGCAAAACACTTATTACTGATGTAAATTGGATTGGGGAATATAATCGCTTGTAAATCCTTAATCCACCCAAGCTTTTTAGGAATAGTCTGTGGGAAATTATAGCTTTCTATCACGGTGGTATTCTGGAAAGCACCTCTTCAGTCATGTATTGTAAATTCGTTTTAATCTTACTATATGCACAATATTGATGCTGTATGTATAATAGAAGATACTGTTTAATTATTCAAAGCGAATAGTA